CGATCTTGTCAAGGTGTTCCCTCTTCCGTATCCACAATTCGCCTTTTTCTGTTCATTGAGAGACACCTAATGAAATGTGCCTATAATAGTGATTGTGAGTTTCCAGCAGGCACTTTGGCTTCTGTGCTGTCAATGCATGCTATGAAATCTCAATGTGATAAGATGTTGCGTTCTGATGTAACGCCACATGTGTTAATGTTTATCTCAATAAAAGGCACATGCAAATAATTAGTTCCCCTATTTTTGTCGTCAGTAATTTAGGTCGATTTACTTTAATATGTAATACAGATAAGCTGGTCAGCAACCCATGCTTGTCGTAAGCAGCGAGTAATGCAGGAACGAGTGGTCAGGCTCATTACGCATCTCATCTTAACCCAACGACGTAGTGCGATGCTCATGATGTCAGCTGCTAGATTGTCTTCATTACAGTCGATTATTTTCCGGAATATTACTGGTGGGGCGTTAAACAAACAAACAAACAAACAAAAGATAATGGCGAAATCATACAAATCAACGAAACAGGAGGGTAGAGTTGAGTCCATATTTGGAATAAATCATATTCGAACTAACTTAAACTATAATATGTTTGATACATATTTTATTTGTAATTTTTCACAATATCCTATAGTTGCGTCACTTTTATGCGATCAGCATGGCCGCGGATTCCTTGCTCAGAAACAACTGTAAGAAGAATAGCGTTACTTTATCATCATGCTAATTCAGGATGTAGTGCGGTAAGTTCACTACGGAAAACTCCGACGCTGTTGAGAGAATTTGTTTTCTCGATTTTCAGTAAGCTTTAATTGGGACTAATTGGTTCATTCTTTACGATGTATTTCATTACCCTGTCCGGAAACATACATGTACATTAAGTATGTTGGCCAAAAGCCTAAACTAAGTGGACTCCTTTAGATAACATTCCAGCCTTAATTCGCCGAGAACACCAGGTGTGAGAGGGCGAGTGAGTGAATTGTGTAACAGGAATCCGATTTAAACAATAAATTAATTGTAATGCCCCTTTTTAACCAACAAACACCACTCAATAAATAAAGATCTTTAGTTCTTTTTCTGTTAAGCCGGGTGTTAAGTTTTAATAAAATCTATTTATATATTTTAATGAAGTAAGATATGTTCACCTCAGACTCCAAGAACTGGCTGGCAAACAAGGATAAGTTGAGCATGGACCTGACAATTGACCCGTATTAGCATGTATGAGTGCCGCCCAATATTGCTTGCCATTGTTAGCGAAGGGGCCCCAGGGTGTCCGCGATCAAGTGTAGTGCGACTTGCTACACCTACGTGAGAGTCCTATGAGCAAGACGTGTGCAGCTACGCGCGGAACCAATTCATCGTCATGCAATGCACGTGCCCTAGCCTACATCTTATCTCTCTTTCACAATCCAAATGGGTTTGCTCATTGCCGTGCACCGCCTAGTTCTCGTAAACGCATTCTCTGCGCCGGTCCAACTTAGCCTTATTTGCCAGTAGACACGCACAAAACTTGTTCGCCATTTTGCATTCCTTCACTGACCATATATTTCGAACGAGTTATATTTCAATGTTACTTTGACGTGTCATCACGCTCATTTACGTGTTGACCCATGTCCCCACAGAAGTGCTGCAATTGCACCTGTATGTTCCAAACGTGACAGCACTTGGTGACGGGAGCAGGTGGGCGTGAGGGGTTAAGTTCATTATTTCATGGGGAACAGGTTTAAATCATAATCACAGTAATCACTTCTGCTTTATTTCACGGACAAACAGAATCTGACAATAATAACAAATTAGTTGCAGAATGCAATTTTGGTGTATTTTTGTACATATATAATTCAACATCTATATTTAACCTACGTGCAAATATAACCATTTACCCCTACGACAATGAAACAGTCCGTGCTACGATATCACGTGTAGGCAGGTCTTGTTTGGACGTGTTGGAACAGTTTATATCACAGCAGGGCTGAGATTGCTTTTCAGACTGTCAGGCGTTATAAGACGTTAGACAGATAAAATAGGATGATTTGTCATGAACTATTCAGTAAATACCAGGACTCGATAATGGCTGGTGCAGAGATACATCAGAGTCAATACAAAGTAGACTGAAACACATGCAGACCGTAAAAGAAACCCTACATCCCACTGTGGTAATGAAGTAGACTGAGCCCGAAGTCCTCAATCAAACGTGTTTGTTGTGTCTGCAGCTTGTCTGTCTCACAGTGCCTGAACCAGATTATTTCCCATTCCATTTATCCCCGCTGTAGTGTAAAAGACCTGAATGGAAGAAGATGATTCAGGTTCTGAATCTGGTTTCTGATGAAACGTTCTTCCTTTCTATCGCAATTATATTCCCACTGAGACTATATGTTAATCTATGTCTCCTGTGCGCGAGTCTCGTGTCAGTCAGAGGTTTTATGTATTTGTTTGTGGAATCGTGTCAACTAGATACTGCTCCAATAAACGCAACACAAGAACACAAAATGCAATCACTAATTCACCAGATTTAGTATTCTGACACTGCCTTCTAAGAACATATATAGACTGAAACGCTGACTTACCGATCACGTTATTTTGTTCATTTTGCCATGTTTAAATTTAACACAAATTTGACAGACATTTATTCTATTTGCAAGAAAGAAGTGACATTATTGACGAAAACGAATAATCATTTCACATGGTATAATCGGTATAAAGCTGTACAACATCACCACTACAAGACCCGGGAAGATCCGGGTTAGAATTGATCTTTAGTAACCCAACGGGATTGGGTGGTCAGGCTCGATGACTTAGTTGACATAAGTCACTGTATCCCAATTGCGTTGATCGATCCTCATGCTGTTGATCACTGGATTGTCTCGTCCAGACTCGATTATGTACAGACCGCTGCCATAAAGCTGGAAATTTGCTGAGTGCGGCGTAAAACTAAACTCACTCACTCACCACTACAAGGATAATCCTTTCTTTGCTAGTAATCTGCAACATCGGTCAAACAGTTTCGGGGTTCACAGTGATATCTCCGGCCATGAAGTTTATTTGAGTGTAATTGATTTAACTGTTCATGTCACACATTAAGGTCAATTAAAGGTCCACAAACGTTATTCAAGATAGGACCACCTGGCACCGGCTTTCAGTTCCATCAAATAAATCACAGCCCACTAACGCTAAGTTTCACGTGAAACCATGGCGGTGTCCTTGACCCTACAGCGTAGGGGCAAATAGTCTATAACTGTGTTTATGGCATCTCGCGAGGAGTCTTTGATGTGTATCTGTGAAGTAATTATGTTAACTGCAGGTATATACTGTGCTGACGCGCCGCTTGTTGTTTTTAAAGATGGTAAATGGTTGATGGTGGTGTTATGATCGATAGCGAAATATTTTCTTTTGCACTAAGTCAATAGCAATATTATTTCCCGGTCTCGTCGCTGAATGAAAAGCATGTGTACCGGCAATAACGCAGATTACACATGGTGGCAGGGGGATCAGATCTGTTCAGAAACACGTGTTGCGTAATTTATTGAGGCGTGTTGTGAGCAGTTATTGATCAGAAATAGTTCTGTTTATGTTTCAGAAACAAAGGCTCATTCCATGCCAGCCAAGAATATACGTTTGTTGGCTCATTGTATTTGTCAGCACACCATCCGTGCTCATGGATGTGGAAAACGGTCCGCGTTGTGCTGCCTGGGACTTGTTCCCCTCATGAGCTTATTCTCCTTGGTATTTATGACAAATAGTGTTAACAGAGGCGTTAAACTCACTCACAGCCAGCCATGTGGTCATAGGCGTCGCAGGTAGTGGTTGTTGGTTGTTCGTTCCCGGCAATGCCAGGATCTACGGATCACGGTTTTGAATTCCTGATTCATCCTGATTATGAACCTTCCTAATTCAGTTAATACCTTTGCCATTGTGCTTCAGGGTAGTTAACATCTTTGTCACCTTACAACGCTTAAATATTGATGCTGATGATGGTATATGTCAACGAATCACCTACTAACGCACCCATCACTGAAAGATAATGAGAACTGCGCAACTACACCTGGGATTCTTGATGTTTAATGACAGCCAAACGCCTCCATGTGCGAATCATGGCAATGGTCGCTTAAAAAATGTTGCACATGATTCACGTTACCCACGAAAGACGTTTACACGAGGGATTCCGAGCGACAGTTATGGACTGCAAGAACATTATTGTCTATCTCAGCCTTTACTACATAATCAATTGAAACGCAAGAAGTAAAATACTGTCATATAAATTCGGTTATCTGTGTGACATTCCAGAATGATTTATGAGATCTGTTTTCAAATTTTGAATCAAGAATAATAATAATGATAAGAGTTTTCAGAGCCAAATCGCCATTTGAAACGAGTGTCTAAAATCTACAGAAAAATGCTTTCTGATTGCTAATGTCAGCTTCTTGCTTGTCATTTCATTGGTCGTTCAAAGTTGATCTGTTATACGAACGAAAAATGATCGGATTTAATGAGATTTAACAGCAATGAGCAATTCCATGCCTACCTCGAAAAACTTTTCGGTACGTCTAAATGAAACAATATTATTCATTATTGTTTTTTTCGATAGTTACATTTGATACATTCGTAATCGTAATTGAAATATTATCAAAACATAATTTTATACGTAATAAATATTATGCATGTTGAATTATCACTCCTGTGGTGGGTGTAATATAGATATATTTATTATGCATGTTGAATTATCACTCCTGTGGTGGGTGTAATATAGATATATTTATTATGCATGTTGAATGATCACTCCTGTGGTGGGTGTAATATAGATATATTTATTATGCATGTTGAATTATCACTCCTGTGGTGGGTGTAATATAGATATATTTATTATGCATGTTGAATTATCACTCCTGTGGAGGGTGTAATATAGATATATTTATTATGCATGTTGAATTATCACTCCTGTGGTGGGTGTAATATAGATATATTTATTATGTGTTGATTATCAATAGTATGCATGTTGAATTATCACTCCTGTGGTGGGTGTAATATAGATATATTTATTTGCTATACAAATAACACTCATACATGACAATACAAAATAACCTCTCACGGACGGATGTAGATAAACACATGCATTCACTACGAAAATAAATCTACCACTGTTTCGTTCACCCTCTGTAATTTAAGCGTCGTCCTTTGTAAGGATTGTTCAATGTTTGGCCAATAGATATCATCCCTCGATCTAGTCCTGCTGCTCACGTTTTCGTAGCCGCCTTTGTAGTAGCGGCCATTGAAGTTGGCGTTCCGAACACACGTGGAAAACCACCAGCCACAATGAAACTTCACTGCACAGTTACCACGCATGCGCGGTGTCACATGGTCGTAGGTCAGAAAAGGCCCCGCATGGACCCTAAGTCCACTTCCGCCAAAACCCGTATAAGAAAAGTAGTCCTGAGGCACGTGTAGCCTGTAGTGAGACGTCTCATTGTCAACCCGAAAGTAACTACTATGTGAGAAGTAGTGCGTACTGACATCGTCCTCCTTGCTTGGGTCAGGCCAGTCCCACATGTCTATACCTAACCCGTACGCCCTCTGGCGGGTTAAGAGATGGATTTTTTCGTTCCCCAGCCAGAACTCCGAGGACATGTTTCCGAAGCCGTGTTTGTATTCCTCCCATTTCCTGAAGAAGTTGAGGGAGCCGTCAATCCGACGTTGGATGAGGGTCCACACGGAGTCGACGTGGAACTCGCACACGACTGTGAAGTGGATGGAGGAACCATTAGGTCTGATGTGGTAGGTCCCATTGGTGGAGAATCCCAGACTCTGAACGTCTTCACAATCTGGAATAGAGGAAACATGTCGTTAGAAACACCCAAATGCTACTAATGCTGCTGTTGCTACTACTACTACTACTACTACTACTACTACTACTACTACTACAACAACTACTCCTACAGGAAGACTATATAAGTGCAACGGGTGATATATTGTGTTGAGATCAACGTTTTGGTGCTGCTTTGTTTAAACAGATGCAGTAAACAACACAATAATGCACCACCCTTTTTGTAGCGCCTTGATCGAGCATCGAATGCACGGATACAGGCGCAGTTACAAAATACCCACTATTATCATTATTAACGACATCAGACACTTCTCTGATAAACATCCTGTACCACCGTGCACCTGGATCACTACCCAGCTGGTCATTTAGTAACACTGGACAACCATGTACACCCTCCAGATGGTCATTTAGTAACATTGGACAACCGTCCATACCACCCAGATGGCCTTTTAGTAACACTGGACAACCATGTATACCACACCCTCCAGATGGGCATTTAGCAACATTGGACAACCGTCCATACCACCCAGGTGGCCTTTTAGTAACACTGGACAACAATGTACACCCTCCAGATGGCCATTTAGTAACATTGGACAACCGTCCATACCACCCAGATGGCCTTTTAGTAACATTGGACAATCATGTACACCATTGGACAACCGCCCATCCAGATGGCCATTTAGTAACACTGGACAACCGTCCATACCACCCAGATGGCCTTTTAGTAACACTGGACAACCGTCCATACCACCCAGATGGCCTTTTAGTAACACTGGACAACCGTCCATACCACCAAGATGGCCATTTAGTAACACTGGACAACCGTCCATACCACCCAGATGGCCATTTAGTAACACTGGACAACCATGTACACCCTCCAGATGGCCTTTTAGTAACACTGGACAACCGTCCATACCACCCAGATGGCCATTTAGTAACACTGGACAACAGTCCAAACCACCCAGATGGCCTTTTAGTAAAACTGGACAACCATGTACACCCTCCAGATGGCCATTTAGTAACATTGGACAACCGTCCATACCACCCAGATGGCCTTTTAGTAACACTGGACAACCATGTACACCCTCCAGATGGCCTTTTAGTAACACTGGACAACCATGTACACCCCCCAGATGGTCATTTAGTAACACTGGACAACCGTCCATACCACCCAGATGGCCATTTAGTAACACTGGACAACCATGTACACCCTCCAGATGGTCATTTAGTCATTGGGCAGTATTGGAGACACGTTCACACCCTACACCCCACAAAACAAGGAGAACCGAGTACCTCTCACATAGTTGTACAGTTGTGGACAATAGACAGAGTCAAGGACGATGGATCTCAGTAGGAACTAGGTCGCTGAAGCCCATTTTTATTAAACATATTCCGCAAAACATCAGTTTCAAACTGTTTATTTTCGCCTGATTTTCTTGATACTGTTTAACTGGTGTTGACAGATTATAAATTTAATACATTGTATCAAAATAGACTCATCATTATCTGATAACAAACCATGTGATCTAATAGGAATGTTGGTCTCCGACTTGCTTCATCTTAAGATTTCGGTATTCGTGCCAATCTAAATATCTAGAAAGCTTTCCCGGAGAACGCCTTTCTGCTGAGCACTCGCTTGCCCCTGATGTCATTATGATACACTTAAAGCCTTCAGATATATGCTCGAATCACTAATCTCCTGGTTGTCGTTTAGTAAATACAGAGTATAATGTTGGTTTGTTTCATGATAAATCGGGGCACAATGTAGGTATTATTTGATATACTGACGTGTTTATCAAAACGTACGAAGATATGACTTGAGAACAAAGCTTGGGTCAAGATGCTTTCACAAGTTCAGTAAGTTTCTATCTTAATCGGACATTCACAGCGAGATAGGGCCTTCGCATGTTCCCAAAACCGATCCGATTATCACATCTCGATGATTCGAGTTGAAGTCGTGTATCACTCCACAGACACTCGAATTTCGACTATCACCCCTAAAGTACTCGAGTCGAAGTGGAGTATAACACTACCAGCTGCCAAATTGAAGTCGAGTTATCCATCCAAACAAGACTATGGTCGCCTATTTGTCCAGGAAATGGGAGTTCCGAATTTGAGAGTTCTACATTCACCAACAGGTCGGTTATGTTATCACTTCCAGTTCTCGTGACAGGTGTCAGATAGGTGAGAGTACAGTGTGACCTTTACCTTGCTTTCCAACCGTCAACATCTCGAGACTGTGTATGTCATGTACGTTTGAGTGGGTGAGACAGTTTGGGGATTTTTAAAGACGCTTGATAAATGTACATGCTACAGCTATATTTTAATATTTTACTGAATCTGTCTTTGTGCGTGAAATATGGCCTAAATTAAACAATACTCGACTATTCCTTTCAACCGAATGACTGTGTCCTGATGAACGTCCGCGTCATATACCTGTCTCCATGTTGAGATTTCTAAGATGACCATAGTCCCGTTTCCTGTGATGAGGGAGTCTTTTGGAATAGGGGGGTGATCAGTTGTATTCGATGTATGTCGTAAGGACAGGATAAAAATTGTATTGGTGGACACGATATTAAGCCTGACTACAGCTTGTTCAGCTTGCCCTGAGCTACTCTATATGCATGACCCGGGAGGTCAAATGGCACAGACGGCAGATCGGGTTATCTTCATTAAATAGGGGAGCAGATAATGTTATAAATGTTGCGTTCATGCGAAGCATGCATGCATGGATTCGTGACGGAACTTGCCCCGGAAAACAACACTTCTGAAAAAACCAAAACAATCATGTCATGTTTTAACTGAATTGTTTATACAGTCATATGATATCTAGTTTGGTTTGCTAAATTTACAACTTACAGACGTCAGTTACTTTCACAATCCGATTCACTCTGTAAATGTGTGTCACCCGAGGCGTGTATCGGTGCTCGAACTATCTGTCACTGGTTTACCAAGCTCAAACTTAATTATTCCCGGGCTTTTTTAAACAATGCAGACTAAAGCGCAAAACAATTATCTAGTAATTAATTTTTTTATGAAATGAGTAACTATTCTCATTCGTCGATTTAAGAAACATGTTCTTTCCAGATCTCGGTATTTCTTGAGGGAAGGTGACATTATAACAGTATTTTCGCACGCAACATCGATCAACAGGATACTCATGTTCTGTATAAGTCAAGAAAATACCTCAGATTCTTGAGTTGTTTCAGACCTGCATATGTACCTGTCTTGTGTATCCAAGACAACAGCAGGGTTTCATTTGTTTCCTTGTGAGTGCAGGAGCGTCTGTGATGTCAGCTGATGTATGTTTACCTACACCGTTGTGAAGGTTGGTTGTCACGGAAATAGCACCTCTACCAACCTGTTACGGCATCTGGATAGGGGGCCATCTCAACTGAACAGTGTATAATTCTCTGTTAGTTGGTATTTATCCATTAATATTTTTCATTGAAACACGGTTACTTACCATTTTTTGCCCAGGGATGATACCCAGGAGCATTAACACCCCAGTCACCCACAGGGGTGTCGTTACCTCTCTGCAAATAAAACTCACACCCGTAGCCTGTGTTTGATTCATTCTTACCTTTGGTTCGTGATGATGATGATGATGATGATGATAAGGTTATTCATCTCAGAACTACAAACTACTTGGATTTGATTTGGTTCGTAGTTCTGAGATGGATAACCTTACAGCTTGGAATACATTTTGCAGTCTAAATAGTAAATTTAAATGCCGTTTAAATTAATTACACTCATAAGAAATAAAAAAAAATTAAGAATGAATAAAATAAAAATAAATTTGACAATGTAATATTTATGCCATGTTCGTTAGAAACGTATGTGGAATATTACTGACTGCACCGTCATATTACTGGAATCTTAGTGAGTACAACGTTAAATAGAACAGATGAATAAGTGAGTGAGTTTGGTTTCACCCCACTTTTAGCAATATTCTAGCAATATCATGGCGGGGGACACCAGAAATGGGCTTCACACGTTGTGCCCATGTGGGGAATCGAACCCGGGCCTTCGGCGTGATGAACGAACGCTGTACCCACTAGGCTACTCCGCCTCTGTACAGAACTGAACAATTGCGTCCTTAAACAACATCCATTCCCAAACTCTTTCTCGAAGTTTCCTTCAGTGGGGAATAACATAACATGACAAAAATATATTCTTCGTTGCTTAAATTAGATTATTTCGATCGTTAATAGGATGGTGATGTGAAGAAAACCAACATATTCCTCGTGTATTTCGGCACGTCGTAAATAATGTTAGATGACTCGATTATTCTTTAGAATTAAAGCATGGTTTACATACTGACTGTCGATGCTGCCAATTAAGTAACTGTCCAAACAATTATCGGGTATAAAATGTTCCAGATAGACGTTCCAGATTTACACAACATGTGTTGATTAATGATAATCAGACAGAGCGAACAGATATACGGCCCCTCTTGGAGTTCTTGCAATATGAGTTAATCGTGAAGTAATTGGTCGTGGGGTAAACATGCACGTGTTTTAACGGCTTAGCATCCTTGTTACAACACTGCACGTGCGGCAGAGGCATCACAGCGCTGACAGCGAGGAGCAACACGTGCCTGCCACGGCTGTCGTGTAGTCCGATACTGCAGGTCTCTTCTGCCACGGCTGCCGTCTAGTCCTATACTGCAAGTCTCTACAGTGAAGACGTAGGAACGTATAGCAGGCGATTGGATCAGGGTTTATCAGGGATATTTATATATTGCCTGAGTTATGTAAATTGAATATGTTTCTAAATAATGACCTTGCAGTCAATAGAAATGAAATCAACGCAGCTTGACCATTGTCATCTTGGCCACCAACACAAAGTCATTTGCAGAATAGCTGCCCATAATCATAGTTAGACGAAGGCCGGTTGGCCACTGAAGCATGACATTGTGGATGAGGCGCGGGATACTGCAGGCTGACCAGACTTCTGTCACAAATGCGACATGTGACAGTCTGATCGGGATTCGAC